CCCGGCGGGTTGGCCCGGAACCCCGGACGACCCGGCAAATCCCGGTCAAAAACCCGGTGGTAACCCGTTGACTTTTATTTATTTTTTTATTGAAACGACGTCGTTTTGAATTTTTTTAAAAATAGAAATTGACCCGGCCGACCCGTTCGACCCGGTCAAAACCCGGAACCCGGACCTTGGACCGGGCCAGCCACCGGGCCGGGTTTAAAAACTATGGTCGTGACAATCACTAATTATTTATAAATTGAAACCTAGAAATTACAACTACCAATACCATAGGACAATTTGATGGTACTCAAGGGATGAACTTTTATCGACCTGAGTTATAATGGCACCGATCATGATAAACTTTGCAACATTTCTCATTGTTCATTGCAAGAGACGACTCCTCTCCTACATCGTCATCTTCTCTTATGTGCCTCCATTTGTTTTCATTTAGCTATTTGGTACTTCCTCCTTTCCTCTTTCTTTTGTCCTTTTAATATAAAAAAAGGGCGTGGATTGTATTTTTCAGGAGAAAATCTCTCTCACTTAAGCTAAGAAAAAGAAAAGGCTAGGAAAATATGTTCTTAAACATGTCACATCATTCAATACCCGAATTTAGAGATAAAAAAACTTATGGAAAAACACGCTAGAGGAGACCAAAGTTAGTCCTTCATATTTGCTTTGGTGGTCAAATTAATCCTTATTATTTCTTATATAACCTTATTATTTCTTATATAACCTAACATCACGGGACATTATCATTCTAACTTTACATATTCTTAATTAATAACATATATATATATATATATATATAAAATAAAAATAATGAGTTCAGTGAACTTTGTGCTTGCTCTAATATTCAATCCAAGTAAAATTGGGTAGATATTTCATAAATCCACTTTAATTCTATTTACTTTGATTTTAGACAAACAAAGTAAAATCTCAATCTAAGTATACCAAATGATATTGGTTATTCTTATGAAATTGTCATCTCTATTTATGTTATTCATTACCATCATCACATAACCACTTCAAGCATTACAACCAAAATAAATCAAAATATTTAAAATAAAAATCTATAAAAGTAGCAAATAACTGTATACTTGTTTAAAGTTAGTCACATATCTATGACATGGTTGGCAATATAGATAGGCAAGCACTGTCTACTCCTAATTGTAGACTAAATGTGCTCAAAATCCTCTAGGAATGGTAAAAACATGACTAACATTGCATTTTCAGTTATACTTTTGAATAGCACACTATTAAATATGTGTATGAGATAAGCTATAGCAGACTCACAACACCTTATCTATGAGGTCATTTAGAGGTAAGCTCAAAAAAGTCTCTTCTAGCCATTTATCTTGATGTAATCTCCTTTAACAACAATATTGTGATGTATTTGTCCTAATAAATAATAAATACTAACATAAGGTGTCCCTCTTATACGATTCTCTATTAGTTATAGAAGCACTATCTAACAACAACAACTCAAGTAATAAGGCAACATCCTAGAGTGCATATGTCATCTTATCTACACTTAGATGAAAGAAATAGGTCTCACTCATTTATCATTTTAGCAACGCACTAAGCAATCCATGATTAAGCTTGATGTGTTAATGGTAATTGGTCCTATAAACATTGGCATGAATAATGAATGAAAAAATATAAGGGTGTAAAAACATCAATATATACAAGGGAAATACCCTGAAAAATAATGAAATTACATAAATATTAGGATGATTACAAGTATGGTTGAATATAGTAGTCATAAATAAACTTATATATCTAACTCTTATATCTATGGATTGATGTTAGTCCTATAAGTATATATCAAACTACCAATATAACCTAGAACAAAACTAATCTCTTCATAGTCTCTCAATTACGAGACAAAACTAATCTCTTCATAGTCTCTCAATACTAGGGCATCTGATAGAACTTGTAGTGTCACCTCTCGTATATACCATGTCTTAACATGTACCTATATGATATATTTGTCAAATACAAGTTGTTAATATTTTAATATAAAACAATAACCAATAACATTAATGCAAAATAATAATAATAATGCTTACATACATTGTCCCCTTCTGTAAATTTTTCTACTATGCTCTCTCTCATCACATATGTTGTATTTATTTTTTACATGTTCCCCTCTTACATTCATCTCAATATAAAAATGAACATATATTTTTTGACACCTACTACATCTTCATTTTATTGATTTGTTTCTACCCTATTTCTAGTAAATTTATGTCATAATAGTTAGTTAGGTAATTGATGAAATTAAAGATCATATGCATTAGTCTTTTGATTACGAAGGCATCTGATAGAACTTGTAGTGTCACCTCTTGTATATACCATGTCTTAACATGTACCTATATGATATATTGGTCAAATACAAGTTGTTAATATTTTAATATAAAACAATAACCAATAACATTAATGCAAAATAATAATAATAATGCTTACATACATTGTCCCCTTCTGTAAATTTTTCTACTATGCTCTCTCTCATCACATATGTTGTATTTATTTTTTACATGTTCCCCTCTTACATTCATCTCAATATAAAAATGAACATATATTTTTTGACACCTACTACATCTTCATTTTATTGATTTGTTTCTACCCTATTTCTAGTAAATTTATGTCATAATAGTTAGTTAGGTAATTGATGAAATTAAAGATCATATGCATTAGTCTTTTGATTACGAAGGCATCTAATAGAACTTGTAGTGTCACCTCTTATATGTACCATGTCTTAACACGTACCTATATGATATATTTGTCAAATAACAAGTTGTTAATATTTTAATATAAAACAATAACCAATATCATTAATGCAAAATAACAACAACAACAACAATGCTTACATACGTTGTCCATTTCTGTAAATTTTTCTATTATGCTCTCTCTTATCACATATGTTGTATTTATTTTTTGTATGTTCCCCTCTTACATTCATCTTAATATAAAAATGAATATATATTTTTTAACACCTATTACATCTTTATCTTATTGAATCTGTTTCCACCCTATTTCTAGTATATATATGTCACAGATAGTTAGTTAGGTAATTGATGAAATTAAAAATCATATGCATTAGTCTTTCAATTACGAGGGCATTTGATAGAACTTGTAGTGCCACCTCTCTATGTACCATGTCTTAACACGTACCTGTATGATATATTTGTCAAATAACAAGTTATTAATACTTCAATATTAAACAATAATCAATAACACTAATGCAAAATAATAATAATAATAATAATAATGCTTACATACGTTGATTTATCTCTTATTTTACTAAAAAAAATATAAAGGAAATATCTCATTATTTATGTCAAAACCAACTTTAACTAATAACTTCTTAATAAACTTCTTGTATAGGTGAGTGAGATTTATAAGTGGATGACAATTTCTCAACCCCTTAATTGCAACTCTAAATAACCATAAAACCCTTTAAATATTGGTATGTCATCATATACCCATTATGATTCTATTGGATAATTGTACTAGGATTTTGCTATTAGAGTGTTAATAACAATCTAGGCAGTGTTTAAAAGGACTCTTATGTGAACCACACAATCACTCAAGTACCTTTTATTTAGCTATCTATGCATTACAATATGAGATACTAAGCCTATATTGTTTATTTATTCATTACTTGAATAGTCATAATGTTCATCATTATATCATCACTTATAATTGGCAAAACTATATTATCAATAAATTATAAATCAAGCTAACAATGATCTTTCTTAATTGAAGAATTAGTGCATACATATAGACCAATTAACTTTGAAAACTTAAACGAATCATAATTCTTATGCAATTCTTATGTAAATACCATTAACATTCTAGTGTATTTGTATATTATAATTGTAATATCCCAATTGGCGAGTAAAGACTTGGAGGAAAGACTTATATGAGCATGCTCATCTTGACTAGTAAGATGCATTTTGAGGCCATGCGTGGCTACCAAAAATAAATCTGTGAGGCCCGTGGGTCAAAGTAAACAATATCTTACTAATGAGGTGAGGTGTTACATTTGGTATCAGAGTCTGGCTCACTAGCTGTCTGATGGTGCCAACAGGGTCGTTAAGCTCCTTAAGAGGGGTAAATTGTAAATCCCACATTGAAAGGTGAAAACTTGGGAGATGGTCTTATATGAACATGCTCACTTTGACTGGTAAGATATGTTTTGGGGCCATGATTACAATCTCACATTGGTATGTAAAGACTTAGGGAAGGGCTTTATATGAGTATGCTCACCTTGACTAGTAAGATGCGTTTTGGAGCCATGCGTGGCTGCCAAGAACAAATCTATAAGGCCCATAGGCCAAAACAGACAATATCTTATTAGTAGGGTGAGGTGTTGCAATAATTGCATATAGGTTGTGGTTGAATGTTGCACTTTATATTCTAATGAATTTGTTACGTGTCACTATATTCTTGCATTAGTTAATCTATAATTAGTTTAGAAGTTTTGTCTAAACTATAACTCAATACTTATACTTGAATTCCTATAACTCATAGCTTAGTCATTGCATACTATTTTATCAACTCTACAAGTATTTTTAAATTCAAGAACAAGAGATCTTATAAATTATAGCTGGCTTAATAGCTCACCACACTCATCTTCTTTACGTGAATCAACTAAACATTACCCTAATCTTCCTCGTCATTTGATTCAAATTCATTATTAGCATATCTATGGTTAAGCATTCTTGGATATTTAATTTTCATAATTTCAGGTATCAATGTTAGGTTCGTTGTAATACTAACTATCATATATAGACCTATAAACTATGATGTTTAGATAACCATTTTGGTATAACTTGGGATCCAAGTATACTCGATATTAGAAAAGTATTCTTATGTTAAGTCTATTGTTCAAGTAAAGCTCTAAGTATCTTCGATTATCAAACCAACCATAAACTTCAAATTGATATTATAAAAAATGAGTATAACAACAAAATAAATTGGATATTTCTCAACTTACATCTTTCAAGTAATATCAACTTTAATTTCATTAAGATTTCATTCTTTATATATGACTTGTTTTAGTTTGGCTAATGAAATGTCTAATTAATAAAAAAACTAAAATAGAAAAGGATTTTTTTTGTACCTCTCCTCATAAAACACAATTCTCTATAATAGTGTTTTTATTTGTTTCTATTTTGTTTTTGCATCTACATATTTTTTTAATTTTAATTTCATCTTTCAATGTTAAGTTTATTGAGAATTGTGTTTCATAATTTTTTTAATTTATTTTTATTTTTGCATCTATGTTTTTTTTTTACAATTTCAATTTCATTCTTCAACATTAAGTTTATTGAGGATTGTGTTTTATTATTTTTTAATTTATTTTTTATAAAACAATCTCAGTCTCAAAACTAAAAAAGAAAGGGATTTTATCGAACCCCTCCTTATAAAATACTAT